GTTTCCAAGCGTTCCAGCTGCAGAGTAACCGGGGCAGACCTCGGTAGCTGTCATAACAGACAGAAACACAACAGAACCATCTATTTCACCAGCGAGGAAACAGACTCCCTAGAATGCGGGTCAGTTTCCTCAAAGGGTGGTCCCGTAATGGAGAAGTTTCAGATTTGTGGATAACGTTTTACTAACCCTTTCACAGGTGCCAAACACCTGCTATTCCCACAAGAGAGTGCTTAATTCCTCCTGGAAACCCGGGTCTGCCACAGAGCTCAAACAAACAGGCTAACAGCACTTGGGGCATTTAGGCTTGAGTAAATCAGAACTGGACCAAAATGCCCTCTTTATTGTGTACTGATAAATACTGACCCCAAGAGGAACTTGAATGGGCTTGGGCCTAGCAAAACAAACCCACATCATACACTACATGCGAAAAATATTGAATAAACTTTTAAACAGCAAGAGAAGCAGCCTACCAGAGCCAGGTAAATATATTGAGAAAGTTTTTATTGGAAGATATATTTCTGCCAAAATAAATAGTTACATTTTCTTCAGCAAAACATTAGAAAATAGAAACAGGAAGAAAAAAAAAGCATCAACAATTTAATACTGAACTTTTAAAGTGACTGTGAACACTACTTAGTGACATTGCCACGTAAATATATAACTTGTTATGCTATTGCTGGTCTAGTTGCTGCTCTGACACCAGTAATTTCCACAGGACCTCCACGTGTTGTGTGCTTAAGGGTCTTCTCAAACTTAGTGGCAGCAGTGGAGTCCCAGGACACACAAAGCTCAAAGTGCTGCTTTAGATGCTGTTTTCAAGAACAAGAGAAAACCCCAGAATGAGAGGTATTTATTTCAAAGTTACATTTCCAAGTCCCCTGTTTGGAACTAGAGTTTCATCCTCCTTGTGCAGGAGGGCTGATGTAGATCCAAAAAGTGAGGTGGATGCAGTTAGGGGCTGTCCTGGTGGAGCTGCCTGCAGGTTGGAAAAGGAGCAATGTCCCACCAGAAGGCAAGGGGAAGGAGGGAGAGGAGAGGGGAGCGAGTCCTGCTGCACTCAGAAAGGCAGACACCAGAGGGACAGGAGGCCAGAGCCCACTGTAAAGGCACAGCGTGTTTGGCACAAACAAGCTGGCTGACATGGCAGCCAGGTGAGGTGGGCCATTCTCTCACTGATTTAAGAAGAGCTTGAGAAAACTGTTGGCAAGGCCCTCTGACTTTGGCAGCCCTGCCACCCACAACATCTAGCATATATTTAGTAGAAATTTACTGTTGTTTTATTCCCATAAAGAATAAACACACACAGAGTTTCAGGTATTTCCCCCACAACTGCTTTGGCAAAAATGAGAGCTCTTTCCTCCAAGGAAGTAGTGAATTACTAGATAATTTTTATAAATTAATAAAACCACTGAGGAATATAAAAGTACTAGGGACGCCCCAGTGCTGGCAGACAGCAGATTCTCTTTTATTCTCTGAGTGTTGCAGGTACACAGCCTTCCAAGAAGCCATGAGAGAACAATTCCTAGGTCCTATACATAGTGGTCAGTATTTTCTCCTATCCCTTGAAAATCAGCTTGCAACAGAATTAGCAGTAGGGCAGGCAGCAAACCAAACCAATTACACACTACTTGTCGGTTACAGAGCATGCCATAGGCATGGACTGTTGTACCCAAAACAACTCTATGGTGTTGTACAGGTTAGGAGCTGGTTAGATGCACAACAAGGTCACCATTACCCTTGTTAGAAGCAGCAATTAGTAACACAGGAAGGAGGAAAAAACAGTGGATTCCTGAATGCACAGACCCTTTATGTGAAACAGTGGAAAGAGCAAGGGTTGGGACTCCTGCAGGAATCCAGTGAATGCTATAAGGACATATGGACATGGACTACAAGATGAATTTTTGTCCAGGAACCTGACCTCTCACTCTCCATACACTGGAGAGCCTAGCTGGGCTGCCCAGCTACACAATCTGGAGCAGAATGGACTGACTGCCACGGATGACCTTGCTCCTCCAGACTTGGCAAGTGAGAGTTAATCAGCAATGGCTGCCCAGAAGATAACTTTGCACACCATGAGGTACACACAGAACAAGGGGCTGAACAGTTCCAGTGAGCACTGTTGTAATAAACCTCTCCATATCCAATCCAGAGCCTATCACAAGGTTTCCAGAAATTTCAAAAAGAGTGGGGTCTCATCTAGACAAGGCAGCACTGCATAACAAAAAGCTATTCACAAGCTGACACAGCCCTTTTTCAGCAGTGGGAAAGGAGATCTTCCCCAGTTCCTTCATCCTTTGCAATGTGTAATGGACAAGCAGCAAGAATTTCAAGCAAATGGGTAAAACTTTTAAAAAGGAAAATGAGGTTAGTTTCAGGTATTTTTAACAGATCTGCAGTTCCCTTATCAGAGCTCAAATCTATAAAGCCTACAGTAGCCATTATAACACTTGGGGAATAAAAACAGGCAAAGAAAGGGTTAATGCAGAGTGGTACTTTCCTAGTATCCTTCACACCCTGCAAATTAGCATAGGGAGAACAGGAATTTCCTTGTGAAAATTTAGACCTTTATTTTTAAAGCCAAGCTTTGATTTGTGGTTATAGTTTGAAGTGTACAAAAGTTTCTCGTGGAGAAGCTAATATAATAAATTAAACTACAGATGAGGTGAAACACAGAACAAAACTCAGGCCTTTTACCAGGCACAGCTGTTAGTCTCTTGAAATGCATGAACCAAAATCCCCAAGCCTTCTGGATCAGAGCACTGGAAGACAGAGGCATCAGCCCAGTCAGCACCAGCCCAGTCAATTCTGATGCAAAAGGCAAGGGGTAAGGGTGCCAAGCTGCAACTTCTTAGCACACTCTGTTGCCAAGAGTATTTTATTTCATAGTTTAGTGGTTTACATAATCACTCAGTGGTTTTACCAGTCCAGGAAGAAGGGATAAAAAAATACTTGCAACATTTTCTCCACCAAAAAAAAAAAAAAAAAAAAAAAAAAAAAAAAAAAGAGTCAAAAGGGCAGCAGCTCCTAAACAGAAGATTTTTCTTATGCAGTTTTGCCCCTCTCAGATGTTTTGTTTCTGGACAAAATGCCTTAATTTCTTGCCACTAAATATCTCTATGTTCTTGCCAATTGCTCTGTGTGCACTGGGGACAAGAGATATGCATTTAGCAATCTAAGTAGCTGTGCATGTGCCATTTCCCCCAAGAAGGTAGTCCAAAACAGTGAAAGAAAAGAAATCCCATACCAAACCACAAAATGACCGCCTTTTCTCAGTTTCAATTTTCATCAAATTCATCATGCTTCCACTAAGTGACAGGAGCTTGTTGCTGGTTCACTTTCACTAGCATCTACCATTTTATTCCTGTGGGCTTTAAACAATCACAAGATCAACTTGATTGGTAATTGAATATTCTGTCTTGATTTCAGAATCCTCCAATTTTTTCTCTTCCTGTAGTGACTTCCCTGTTCCCTAACTGACTTAATTATGCAAAGCTTAAGACTAAATCTGACTGCATAAATGCAGGCCTGCTTTGTAAACTACACAGGCCCTTGTTTCATCCAGCAAAGCAGTGGGGTGACAATCTAAGTCACAAGTTCATTCTTGCACTGCCTCCTGGGCAGAGGCCCACTCCATTGCCTCCCAGCTTGGCACAGCCACTGCAGGAAAATCCTGATGCTTATCCATCTCCACACAAACACCAAACTCATGCCCAGTGCACAACTGTGCTCATATGAAACAGCACCCACCCTGTCACCCACACTGCTCATAAAGATGTACTACTTTCTCCAGTGATTAGCACAACTTCTGGGTTTATTTTCCCTCTCTAAATCTAAGGTGCACAAGAGAGTCTATTAAAAATTACTATTCCGTGTATAGGCTACATAATCAGCTTCCAATACCCTGTCCTGCTCCCCAGCATAGACAGCATATGTCTGCTTTGGCCATTGCACACTGTGCTAGGAGAGGTAGAAGACGCCTCATGTAGCAAGACAAGCAACAGAAAAAGATACCAGGAGCTGGGTTTGTCAGAGTGTGAAGACCTAAGCTGAAACCTATGCAAGTCCCACAGGAAGCCATGTCTCACCCTGTGAAGAGCAGGGAGTTCATACTTCTCACACAAACCACAACCAGACCACTGCAGAGAAGGCAGTGCCTCAAGAGTCCTGCTCTGCTACAGCTCCGGTCTTTTAAGGGGCAAGACAAAGAGGAGCCAGTTCCAAGTGGCTGCATCTGCATCAACAGTCTTCACTTCACATGCTCCTGCTATTGCTAGCTGCAGAGCAGGACCTCTGAGCTACAACACAAGACACACAAGCTGTGATGCTGGTGTAGCTACAAGCCTAAATCCTTCTTGCTCCAAAGCCTCAACAACCAAACTTTCTGAGCAAAAGAAAGATAAAAGCCTCAATTTGGCAGGAGACCCATTCTGTATCCCACTTGGAATTTGCCTCAGTTGTACAGCCCCTTAAGGAGCAAAGCCCAACTGACCCTGTCAGAGGCAGCCACTTCCCCAGCACTTGCTGTGACACTCCACCACAAGCCTCTCAAAAATAACATGCCCTGCACAATTCTCATCTTCCTACAATCACTTCATATTGCTTCAGCTGCTAAGTTGATCCTGAGATAGCCAGGCTGAGCTTTTTCCAGGGCAACCCCACACCAATTCCATTCACAGAGTCAGGAATAGGGGCTCAAATTCAACATGTTTCCCTGGAAAAAAAAAATCTGTCAAAATTACTTCTTAAAATAAGCTCAATCACTTAACACTCAGAGTTCAAGTCACAGTAGTTCCCTGAGGACCCCAACCAAAATGGGAGACATGAGGACAACATGAATCAGGGAAAATACATAACTTTTCTACACTTCTGCAGTTCCAGTGTAGTCTTCTGCAGGACCAGCTCTGGCTTCTGGTGAGGATGCAATTAAGGGAGAGAGGAAAGGACATGGTTTCAGCAAAGAGGAAGGTCTGGAGGAGACTTGAAAGCCATGAGAAAAATTGTTTTGGCAAGAGGCTACTTCATCTTTCAGTAGCACAAAGAACTAAGGGCTGTCAGATGATTTAAGGAGAGGAATCAAGACACATGCTCTGAAAAACCAAGGGAGGTCAAAGCTGTATGAACTTGAGAGCGTCATCTACATCCTGGTTATTTGGCGGTAAAAAGCCAGTGGCAATTCAAAGTGCACTATGTGGGAGAGCCCAGCTGGGTCAGCATCAGCCTGGCCACAGGCAATGGCCAGGCCTCACCACAAGTCTAGAGCAAGGAATCAGCCTGTGTGTGGCTCTGAACACAAGGTCCTTGCTTGGCCCAGTGGGCAACAAATGGCTACAGTCAATTCCACCAGTCTCCATGCAGGGGATATCCCCTTTGCAACATACTCAGGAGCAAGGGGCACAGCCTGCTGCTGGGGGATGAGACTGGTCCATCCCTATGTCCATTCTCCTTCCCACCCACTCTCATCCCCTCACAGCAGCAGGCTCAGAAGAGTGGCAGGCACTCTTTTGCACAGTCTAGAGGTGGAAGCTTTAACTGAAACCCTTCCCGAGGGAAGAGGGAGGCTTGCATGTCCACGTTGATGCAGAGCAAGCCCAGCATGAGCTGGCGCTGGTACTCCTCCCACTTCATCATGACATCAGAAACGGAGCGGTTGCTCCTCATCCACATGGGCAGTGCTTCACCACAGGGTGCCGCGGGAGAAATCGGCAGCTTCTGGGGCCCTCCCAGCTCGAGGTGGTAGTAAAGCCTGAAAGGCAAATACATGCAGAGACTCAGTACAATGGGAAGACTTGAGCAGGCCACCAGACTAGAGCGCCAGTACCACAGGCCTGTTTTGTACTAAACTGACTACATGATTTTAGTGAGAAGTCTCTGTGTGCCCATTTCCCCCCGTCACATCTCTCAATTATTCAGACCATGAACTCTTTTGGGTAAGAATTATACCTTTGTACTAGGATCAAACCACAGCTGGGACCCCTTGAGTGCTACTGTGAGTTTTCTATCCTCATCCACAGAACAGTCTTGCCACAGCCTCAAGCCAGGAGCTATTGCAGGAGTTCAGTCCAGAAGCACAGGCACACACACAGGCCCAAAGCACTCGGTCTCATTTGGAAACTCTTTTGTGTTCCCTGGCCACCATATTCCTTCCCCACAAAAACCAGGCTGAGATACTGAGGTAGAAGAAGTCATTTGAACACAAGTACTTCTCAGAAAGAACTTTCATGGGATCCTGGGCCAGCAAATGTCACAAAGACCTCTGTCTTGTAGAAGGAGCACGAAACAAGCTGGCATACTGTTTTAATCAGACTTACTTTAGACAATGTCCCCCATAATAGGGGACAGTTAGACTTTGTCTCCTACAATGGCACAACGGAAGGGGACCATGTGCTGAGTGTATCTGACATTTAAAGAAGCCAAGAGAAACCGTGGACCAGATTTGCATTTCAGTCTAAGTGCTAAATCCTTCTGGTCAATTTCTGCCTTATTTCCTCTGTTCCAGTGGAATAGAGTCTCTAGAATTCAAAGGTGTAAGGGGAAATGAAGAGCTCCTTCAGAACAGTGCTGCAAAGAAAAGCAGCCATACCTGGCTGAAAGATGGCTGCCTAGTTTCTTCTTGGCTTTCTTCACAAGATAGTTGCAGATTTCTGTCATCTGCTCCCTCATCCATCTTATATCTTCAGGGATATCTGGGAGCCATTCGAGCAACCTGTAAAGAGACAGGAAACAACCATTAGCTGGGCCACGCAAGAGAATATGATTAAAAGAGGACCAGGTCCAAAGTCTCCCTTAAGGCTCAAAAATTTATCACCATTTTCTGGGGCAAGTTCTAGCACACAGCAATCTTCCTCCAAGCTGGAAGTAGTGGCTGTAACTAAATGACATAGGAAGATAGGAAAAGTTTGGGGTTCTTTGTTTTTCTGGTTTTGTGAGGGTTTGGTTGGTTGGTTTTTTTAGTCATATCTGATAAATGTCAAGAGCTTCTTCCCCAGGAATACCAGCAGTGCAGAATTAGAGAGAATCCCACTCTGGCTAAACACTACAGCTACATGAAATACTTGTCTGCACTGGGAAGAGCACCACTGAGGGACCAGCCCAAGGCTCACCTGACAGTGAAGGAAACTGCAGACTCCAGAGGCAGCATGTAGGGGACCATCATGGCCGTGGCCACACGCACAGGCAGCATGTTGCTCAGGCCAGTCAAGAAACTTCTTCTTTCAGCACAAGCCTCCAGGAGAGCTGAAGGCAGAAGAAAACATGGTTGAATATCCCCAGTGGGACAATCTTTTCTTGTCATACCTCAGAAGTTACTCAGCCTGAGGCAGCTAACCCCCACTTCTAAGAAAGTCTTGCTCAGGGTTAGTAATTCCCTGAGCACAGCTAAAACCAGCAGCTTTCACCTTCATCAGACTCTAAAGGAGTGAGCAGCAAGACCCTCTCCTCTCCTTACCATGCAGAACACTGTCAAATGAATCAACCTCTCCCAGTCCAGTATGAGCCACAACTTTATCTGAGACCCCCCCAATCCATCTAACCCTCAGCAGGTGTCATTTCAATTCCTGGGCATGACGAACCCCAGCTATACACAATAACCACACATCCCAGTAATCTTCTGAGGCAGAGCAGGCAGCACAGGAAGATTACCTGTAATCTCTCCCTTTGAATCATACCTTGGTTCAGTCTGGGAGGCAAGTGTTCAAAGATATGCTCTTCAACAACAGCAAGGGCAGTGTTGTCCTCTAGTTGGTCCTCAGCTTCTGTTTCTTCCTCTTTCTTGTCTCCTGGAGGTGCTTCTATGGCAAGGAGAGGACGGGCAGGACTTGGAGGATGAAGGAGACCTGAGAAGAGAAGTTATACTGTAAGGATGACACAAACCAGCTGCCCTGCCTTTAGAGTGTCAGTCCTTGCTTCAGCCTAACTCCCCTCAGGCTGAGGTCATGCCCAGTCTCTTTAGCTTACAGCTCTTGTGATGTTTACCACAAGGAGATACAAACCTTGCTAGTTTAAATTCATTCTCTCCTTCCCCATCAGAAGTTCTCACATTTCCCCTTTAAGTTTCGCAGCTGGCAGAGTTTTGTTGCTATAACCTGCCACTCGCCCATCTTGCATGCAAGATTTCCCTCCTGCAGTGCAATCCCAGTTATCCCGGTCCGCATCACTGCCCACAGACACGAGGTGGCAGCAGGCGCACACCCAGCGCCGCAGCGGCTGGAGGCAGGAGAGCAGCGCCCACAGACCCAGCCACACACGGAGAGCAGCAGGGTGTCTGCAGGAGCCCCAAATGGTACTGCTGCCCAGCAACTGTGTTGGTAACTGCAAAGGTCACCACTCCACCTCTCCTTCCTGAAGGGCAAGGCTCATTAAGGATTATTCCATACCGCAGTATATGAGGGACAGTTCAGTTCTTCCCTTCCTCCTTTCATATGCACCATCAACTACTCTCAAAGCCAAGGCACCAAATGTGGCACAGAACAGGCAAGTCAGTGCACCCTACAAATAGCCAGTGCCTTACCATTCTTCTTCAGGAAGTGCAGTGCATCTCGATAGCCCTGCTTGCACATATCCCGCAGCACCTGTGGGCAGAGGAAGGAAAGATTCATGTGGAAACTGGCTGAGCAAACACCTACCACAATGCTGGCTTCAGAGGAATTGTCCTGACTCCTGCGCTATCCCAAGAGCAAGTATCATTCTTGCCAGCCTTGCTCAAGCTTTGAGCAGGAATGGGAGGTATAGTATCAATATATTGGCTATGGGAATCATAGGACAATTTAGATTGGAAGGGACACCTAGAATCCTACTTAAGTGGGGGCACAGAGTTGCAGCTATCTCATTGCCCCATCTACAGCTGATGCTGCTGTGGGCATCCTTCAGGCAGTCACACTGACAAGCAGCCCAGAATACTTCCCTGCAGGTGCCAGGAAGGGCCATTGTGTTTGCAGATAAAGCCAGCTAAGACTAGAGAGGGGGTGGAAAAAACTTGCCCAAGTCATTCAGCACATGAATGCATGCTTACTAAGTCCAAATGTCAGGGCTATCTGGCACTTGCATCTTCTCAGAAGCACACAAAGTTTGCAGTGCCACTTGCTACACTGATACAGTAGAAAGGCTTCATACTGGCAGCTCCATCCTTACCTTAACACACTGAAGTGCACATTGGTTCTGATGGCTAATTCATCTTTGTTTACAGTGAACCTGTTTTCCAGGCAATGACTACTCTAGAGAGAGCAACATAGGAATACTGTCCAAGCAACTGCTACCATCTGAATTCTAGATATTCAAGCAGAAAATGAAAACAAACCCTGTGCTCAAGGTTTAGCAAGTCACTGGGCTGGTAATGTCGAGATTAAAGACAAAGCTACAAGATACAAAACTAACAGTGTCTGCAATCTTCTCCTGCCAAAGTGCACACAGTGCCCAAGATCTGTGGTCCCCAAGTTCTGGTGTGGCCAGGAAACTCACTCACCTGTGGCTCCGGAGGAAACAGGGCCTTTGAGAGGCGGTAGAGGTTGCGAAGGTTGAACTGGATGCTTGTATTGGTGACTCTCAGCTCATGCATATTTGTGGAACTGTCCCGTGGGCAGATATCGCTCTCTCCCGAGAACGGAGACACCGTGATTGTGTTCTTCAGCTCATATTGAGGCAAATTGTCAGAAATCCCTCCATCAACATATCTCTGAAATCAAAACAAATTCAGCAGTCTTCATTTTCACAACTGATCAAGCAGCTATTTTACTCCATGTCCCTTTTCCTGTTTGTGCCAACAGCTTGGGAAGAGAACTGGAGGAGTAAAAACCAGTGATAGCACAGCTGTGTTGTTTATAAAAACTCCTTTTGCTATGTGTTTTTTGTTGCTTAAGTATGCTGCTCACAAGTGTTCAATAGGGAAGGCACATTCACTTGTGTGACTGCTGACTTACATCTCCTATGCAGTCTGACTGCTGTCCAATTAAATAGTAATACACACCAACAACCACCTGCAGTGTAAATTAGCCCTGATCTAAGCTCTCACACTGTGACATTGTGCCATTTTTCACTTCTGTTGGAAATGAATAAGCTCAGACACAAGTCCCCGCTGGCAGAAGGTTTGTTGTTACCTATGAGAAAAACCAGCCGATCTGTTGCTAGTGGGCTTATCGAGCAGCAATCCCAACACACACACACACACATTGGGAATCCACTTGCTCTGGTGTGATAACAGAGCACAAGGGACTTGGGGTTTGCTCTTAACAGCACCCTCTTATCAGAGAATGTTCTGTTCTTCTGTACCATAAACATTTGTGTTACCCTTGCAGGAAGGGCAATTCCAGTAGTATGTTCTCAAAACATTCGTTGGATACTGTAATTGCATAAGGAGCTGAGCAAGATGATCCCTTATCACAGGTTTTGGCAGAGTAAGCAACATGCAAAAGATAATCGGAAAAGGATGTTGGTCAAGCCAAAAGAGAAGGAAGCTGGGGGTCTTTGCAGAGCAACAATTTCTCCCCTTGTGAACCTCAGTTACAGAAGAATTCTGATGGTTTCATATCAGGGTTGATCCTGCAGCCTGGATCTGTTTCCTTCCTAACCAAACACAAATCATGATACAGGGGCTATGCAGCCCCACAAGTAGCAGCTGTAAACATCTTTCAGCACTCTGCTGGGTGAGAAGCTGAGCCAGTAGAGGCTAAACCCAGGCAGAGCACAGAAATGCTGATTGAAGGAGAAGGTGCTCCATTCTGCATCCTGCTTCCTCTTGTCTCACAGGCAGACTGACCACCAACATTGCTTTTTTGCTGCACAGTGCCTAGGAAAACATTGGATGTGGTGCCTGGAGGATTCTTTGCACTTTGCTCTCTTGCTGTGGATGGCAGACAAGACAGACACCTCAAGCAGCTTCTCTGATCCTGAACAGTTCACAGGCTTGTGGGCTGAAAAAAATTGAATTTAGCTATAGCAAGCCAGCTGCCATTGATGCAACAGGGTCAGGGTGGACTGCACAGTCCCTTCCTGGGAGGCAAACTAAACTTCAGGGCTACCTTTGCATACAGCCTACAGCTTCATGGGAGATGGCTTGTGATTACAGTTGTAGGCTACAGCAGCCCAAACTCAGAGCACAGGACATTTTACCCTCATGGCAGCCCTTGCTCACCAAACACTGTGTCAAGAGAGGCACTTAGAGACTCCTACACCACCTGAATTTGGATAGCGATAAAGTGGAAGGACAGGATAGATTAAACTCAAGGGTAAGTACATCCTCTCAGAACAGTAACACACCTCAGACACAAGATGTTTTCTGACAACAAAGATGCCAACAATCAACAGAACCCTCCCCCCCATCTAAAGTGGGCATCAGTGTTCCCTAAGCCTAAAGCAACCACAGCAAACTGCCACTGTCATCCTCTTCCCAAAGCTGCTCCACTGAGAGCCAGACTAGGCACAGCTAGGGCTGGAGACATCTGCCCAACTCCCTTTGCAAGGATGAGATTTCAGAATGCTGAGTGGGACCAGAAGAGCAAAGCAGGCAGCATGCACTCTGTTTAAAGAAAAAGGAGGTAAGCTTTAGTGCTGGACAACACTACTTTTGTAGTAAGGATGCAGAAGACACATTTCCCTGAGGGTGGCAGCAAGACTGCACAGATGCCATTAGAAAAAAGGCTCAACTACAACAGAGCTGACAGGCAAATCCTTCTGACTCCATGGAAATCGAGGAGTACACCTGCACTCTCTGGTCTATTGCTTCCAAGAAATGCTGATTAACATTTCTCAGTAAAGCTCAGCTGCCGCTCCCTTGGATTTGCCTCAATCTCCAGTAAACCCAAGTGTAACCACTCTCCAGCCTCCTGCAAAGCCCAGAACAACCCAAAGCCACAGGCTGGAGCCACCAGCTGCCTGCAGGCACAAGCAGCAGCAGCTTTAGGGGATGGTTCATAGACTGGGGTGACCACTTCCACTCCTTTACCATGTTCTCCTGTCAGCTTTGTGACCCTTGCCAGGTATTCACCTCACCCACATGCTGCAAACAATTCACAACTATTGTCTGCGTTGGCAGGTCAGTTACCAATTTTTTAGTGTTTGTGGTTTTTTTAACTCCCCTGCCCATCCCCATCATCCATTCCATGAGACTACCAGATCTCAGAGAAGTGAACACAGGAAAAAATTTAGGAGGAAGGCAAAATATGGATTTTGCACCTTGCACACAGTAACACTGCCTTGAAAAAACATTGCCTTGTGCCAGGCTTGTCAGTTTATTCTGTGGTAAATACAGTCACCACAGGCATGCTAGAGAACATGCATTCCTTTTCAAAAGCATTTCCCAAGCTCATACCCAACCCAATTTAACCTCTCGCCTCATCCGCAATCCCCCTTCAGATTCATGCTTTTCTGGGGAAGAGGTAGGAATTAAATTTCCTCATCTCATATTTCCTCCCCACCTTTTCCCATGAGAAGTTATCCCTCAGTGTGCCAGGGCAGCTGCACATTCCAGAAACCCTGATGTTGTACACAGTTCTGGAATGGTGAACTTTTTTCCTGATGCACACTGACCTTAATTAGCCCCAAGGAGGTGTAAGGCAAGAGCCACTGCTATGGTCCCACCAAATTACTGATTCTGTCACTTCTCTGAAGGGCTGGAGAACACTGGACATCTCCTGCAAGGTCATTTCCCTGCCCAACATGCTTGCACAAGACAAAACCAGCCAAGCTGTGTATTATGTAGAAGCAAAACTGACCTCACTTTTAGGACACAGGTAGCAATCAAAGAAGATTTGATGCTGTGTTCTTAACAGACAGAAGCACTATGGTCAGATCACTTATGGTAAATCAGGGAACATATTTTGTAACAATTCTCCCTCTCACTTTTGACTGTGTAGTTTGCAAAACCCCTGCTTTTTAACGTGTTCATTAACTGTGTAGCACAAGGGAGACCAAGTTCAACCAGGAGACCCTTAAAGCATGAGTGTAATATCCAGAAATACTGCAGCTCTGCACAGCTTTCATGGGTTTTCATTTCTAACATGCAAACACAGAGGGATAAATTGCTCTTGGACACAATTTAAAGAAAGCACTGACATGCAACAGAGCATTATTGTCAGAGAAAGGACAGGAGCAACTCCATGGAAAAGAGGGCCAGTATCCACACCACTAGTTAAAGCCCTGCAGAAAGTGCCAGGCACATGGGAGAGGGACTACACTCATGACTTTTATCCTGGGCCAAACTTCTCTCCACATGCAGACAGCTGGAGCCCCAGTGATTGAAAGTGCTCTCTACCATGAGAACACTCTGCTGAGCCAGCCAGCCCTTCCCCAGACTGTATCTATTACTATATGCTAAATCCACTGGTCTTCAGGATATTTATAGTCAACTGCTGGCAGCAATGAAAAGAAGGCCTATCCACTGGTGGAAGTTGTTTATTTGGGAATTTCTTGTGTCTCTTCAGATAAATGCTGCCAGCAGGCATGCAATAACATTGTCAAAACCTACTCATCAGTATGTAATTTAATGAAGACCATCTTAGAATCTTACTTACCACTCCACGCAAGGTTGGAGGTATCAGCCCACAGTAGACAGGGATAAAGGTGCTGCAGATACAGGCCTGAGGGAGAAAGAGATCCAGAATCTAAGAATCAGATCAAAGCCTACTGAAACTATTACTGTTCTCAGAACACCATGCTGGCAATTATACTCCAGTACTAAGGACATTTGGAGACCAAGGCAAAACAGAACTGCATGCATTTCCTGCCCAGCCCTCTGAAGAAAGAGTCCATTCACCTGGATCAGTTCCTCCTTGGAATTGAAGTCTGACAGTATCACATTTTCTCCATCAGAGACCCGTGTCAGGGAAATACCCAAACGTCCTGCTGCAACCTCATGCCCATTCTCTGGCACCACCTTGGACAGGGACATCCGAATGGTTTTCACCAAGTTGAAAGAGGGGTGGAGAGGGCCCAAGAACCTCTTCCGGGCTTCTTTTGACACCCGAATAATGCTGGCACCAGCTTCACCTGCAACGAGACAAATGCACCATGAAATGCTACCAAAACCAGTCTTCTCCTTTACAAAACTAGGCACAGAAAAGCCTCAATCCCAGCCTTCCCCAGAGGTTTCTCCCCACTGGCTAATACACAGCTCAACCCAAGAGGTTATTTAGAGGGGAATGTTATAGAAGTCATGGAAGTTTGCTGTCTTGGCCCTCACACACCCCCATCACAAAGAGCCACCCTCCTCTTCCTTATGTTTTATGAAGTCAAGGAAGATCATGTACATCTGATTAAGGCCTCACACTGTTTTTTAGATCCTGTTGCACTAGCCAATGCAGGGCTGGTGAAAACAGACTGAGAAAGAAAACAAGGCACTTCAAAATATATTCCACTAAAACTCTTCTAGTAAACATCTTTTTTCTGACAGGAAAACAAATCGTCAGTAAGCAGAAGTGCCAGAACAGGAAAGCTGGTGCTTTCCAGCTAAGTGATCCCAATGTTGCTGTGAATGTCAGCCACATCTCAAATGAGCAGGAGGGACTAATGCTCCAATAAAGAATCAGAGACTTAGTTCCTCCTGCAGAGCCTTTGGCATCCCATCCCTTCCATATCTAATTCCACAGCACTAAACTAGGCCTTGATGGCAAGCAGGACTTGTGGAGGAATGCTTGCTTTACCCTTTCACACAGTAACCCAGCTGGGTTTGAGGAGACATCCCAGCTGCACAAAAGGGAAGGTATCTGCCAAGCCCATTATCTCAGTCACTAGGAGCTCCATCTGGCAAGCACATCAGAGCTCTCAAATAAAAAAAAAGGGATGCAAGGAAACAAAAATACAAAACTACAGCATCCAGCATGTTGCCCTTTGCACTGACTGACTGCTGCCTCCACACACATCCAGCCATGATGAGATAAAATAGTTCCTCTTAGTACTAGCTAATCACTGCATTCCAAAGAGTGCCACGAACATACAACATACATGTGAGAAGAATGAGAGGGGGAGAATTAGAGAAACCAGGAGAAAAGAAACATGCTTTTACAAATGAAGAATCCTCTTCAATCAAGCTGAAGGTCATTTCATGGAAAAGGACTGAAGACTACCAGTTCAAGCCAACTGGAAGTCCCCTCATTTCACTCTTCCACTCAGTTTCTCAATTGCAAAAACAAGGCAGCAGAATGAAAGAACTCAGGTTAGACCCAGGTTAATAAATACAATGGAGATAAGAGCAACAACCCTCAATGCTATGTTGACACATCCCAATCTTTTGCAATACACGTGTGCCAGCAACATGTTTTCCATCAATGCAGCCTGGAAACGTGATTCTGGGCTTAGGAAACCCACCAACACCAGTAGCTCAAGCACACAGACAACTGGACCCTTGAACATGACCAGAGATTCTGAGGTCAGGATTTTAGGCACTGTGAGGTAGCAACTTAGTAGAAAAGCCAAAGTTCCCTCTCTGAAGCAATTTTTAGCCCTGTAATCCCAGTCTTCTGTCCTAGAGCAATGTTTAGCAGTCTAATTCTGATCTTACTTACTCAATTAGCAGTAAGCCATTGAGCCCAGATAGTAGCCACATGATTCAACATCCTTCCCAACATGGAAGAAGTCAGCCCCATAGAGATACACTTTATAATCACTGAGACATTAGCACTCTAAACACTTCCCAAAATACCTTCATGCCTGTCAAGGAGAGGAAAAACACTGAAAGAAACTGCAATCAAGCAAAATAAGGAATCCCAGCCCAGCACCTTAGTCACAGGACCCCATAAAGGAAAATCCTCTGCACTGAGTGCCTTGCAGGGAATTGTTAACTTGGTTGAAACCCCCATTGTGGGGTTGAGTATTGAGCATACAGCTGAGGGGAGACCCCTGTGTACAAAAGCTATGCTGGGGAGAGTGTGGATTATCCAGGAGATGGTGCTTGCTTAGGGAACAATGCTTTCAGGCTTGGCATGTCAGTGTGCAGAAAGATGTGACAGCAATACTGAAAACAACTGCAACTAAATGGAGCTTATGACTGTTTGAACAAAAATGTGAGCTGGAAGGGGTTTGGGGTTTTTTTAAGAACAACAGGAGAGCAAAGTCCTGACTATGCCAGAAAACAGCATTTGAGGAGAATCCCGAGTTGCAGCTGCCTGTTCTACCAGTGTTCCATACCCAAGAGGGACAAGTGAGATTACTGCTAATTAGCAAGTTCATTCTTTGAATACTTTGGGGTTTTTTGTTTGTTTTGGGCTCCTTTTATACACGTGTGCATACATGCATACACACAGGAGCTTTGAGGCACTTGTATTTAAAGATATCTGTGATTCTGTTGGACTCCCTGAATCACTTGCACCAAAGCTGGATGTGGAATTGCTCTGTGGAAAGGCATGGGCACAGAGTGATCTGCAGCTTTCCGGGAAATAAGGTCTGCTGAGGGGTCAGCCAAAGAAGCCACGTTTATGTAGCAAGATCCATGACAGATGACAAATCCTCTTGGAAGTATATTTGGGAGGAGAGAAAAGAAGTGACAGTGTTTTAATCATGTTACTCCCAGAAGTGCTACTCCAGGAAAACCGGCTCAAATTCTGTTTACAGTCCATGAGAGGGAGCAGCTGAATTAGAGGCAGTCAAGAGAGAGAACTCCTACAGGGGTCAGCCAACAGCTCTTTATTATTTCTAGGACTAATCCAGTGCCAAATGCAGCCCTTAGGAAAGCTTCTCATTGTTTATATGGCTCTAGTGATTCAGAACACAGAGTCATGTGAAAAAGCTGAATTAAATTTTTATTTCCTTATTGAGATACATACCACGGGGCAGAGGCAATCCCTAATAGTTAGCAGTGTTTGCTGTGAAAGCATTTCATTCTTACACTAGCCAATTAATTCAACACTTTTCTCTATACAGATTTACTAAGCCAATATGCATCAAAAAAGTTGCAATAATATATGCAGAATATTTCATTTTCATTGGAAAACCATCATTCCCCTTTACCCCCACCCCTATCACTGCCCCACTGGGTGTTGTTATACATAAACCCAAGTACTGCAGGGCTATTGTCCTTATCTGAATTTCAGCTGTGATGACGCAAAGGAGCATCACACAGTTGTGTCCTGAAACACCCTAACATGTCTCTTGCCAGAAAAGAGGTCATCTGCTCCCCCACTCTGCTGATTTGTCACCTGCAGTGGCTGCAAGGGGCAAGGTAGTGGCACTCATGGGAAAAGCCTGAGGGCAGCTGCTAGGAGACACTTCATTTTTAAGCTACATCAATCCAGCTTCACAGCAGATTATTGACATAGGGTTAGATTGTTCCCTTTAACAAATGACTTTCATCTCTATCGGTCATTCTCAACTCCAAAATAACCCAGTAACTAAGTCTGTACTGCCTGGCATCCCCTAAACTCTAACCTGAAAAGCATTCAAACAGCACATGCTATTTAGAACTGTAAAAAAACACGCCAGCAGAGCAGCCTGCTGTTACTCTGCCTCTGGGACAGTAGAGCTGAAGATGGATCACCTAAAACTGTAAGCCAGGCAGCTGGGAAGACCCTTAACTGCTGCTAAGGGCTCTGGGGTGAAACAGAAAGGCTACTCCAAACCTGTGCAGTGCATGAGGACAAGGACCATCGCAAAGCTTAAACACTTCACGACAGGAGGGGCGGGTGACAAGTGGAGAAGAAGGGTCTCTTCAGATCCACATCTGCAGCAGCAGGGCTTTGGCACCAAGGGTGCCATGATGGTCTCCTGTTAGATCACATGTTAGACCATATCAGTATCTATTTGCCAGCCAGTAAAATCACAGATGACCCATGAAGTATTTCTAATGGAAAAAAGTGCCTAAGACACAGATAAAAATAGGAGCAGAGCAAGCTAAATAGGGGAAAGGGCATTCTGAATAGTCAAGCCTGCAGCTCACCCATGACACTGCAGGTCTCTCTGGAACAGCTCTGTGTCAGCACAAAGATGACCTGTGCCAGGGATATTCCCACTCCCTATCTACTGCAACAGTAAATAGGATACAAACTTAAAGGAAAAGTTCTCCAACAGGGATGGAGAGCAAAGGACAGCACAGAGAGCTGGTGGATGTAGGGGCAGCACTCTGTCCTGCTGGCAGGAAGCACGGAGAGGTCACACCCCCGACTGCAGATGCCATAACTTGCCTGGACTAGTGGGGCAGACAGGAAACTGCAGATCCTCACTAAACCTGCTTCTCATTCAACTTCAACAAATGCACTCCTTCCTACACATCAGCAACTCTCCTCCCTCCTCATTCCCATTACCCAGCTAAGGCTCCAACTGGCCCAACACACCAACAGCTTTGAAAGGAAGCCAACTAGTAGAAGGAAGCACAGGTACTTTTGCTATTCCCCCAGGCCCTGGACAGCCCTATGCCTTGTTAGTTTGGGATCACATAACCAAGATATTTTGACTGCAAGATTTTCAAGATAGGAGTCCTGCCAGCCCTGTGTACTACAATCAGGGACCTCATTCCAGAACTCCTTAAGTTCTGCTCAGCTCTCTGGTCTCTGTTTGTGTGATACTCAGCATGCATGTCCCTTTTAGGAGTCCCCAGCTAAAATCTTCACACTTTGCTTTCAATGCAGCTGGTTGCTGAACGCTGCTGGAATTGTCATTATCCCACTGGTAGATTCCAGTCTGGAAGAAAATTTAGGAATAGGATGAGTCAGAAGGAATTTATTAGCATGATCTTCCCCAACATTAATTTCTCAGTTGCCTGTCTCTTGCTATTTCAGCTGTTCCGTGCCACATATGTGGAAAAGTTAAAAGTGAGTCTCTCACAATGAGCAGAGGTTTCAAGAGAGCTGTTCCATGTTCTTCCAGGACACAAATCCTTAAGCTGCTCCAGCTCAGCATGAACAGCTCCTGCACTTGCTGTTTTTTAAGTACTGAGAGTAAGCAATGCACATGCTTTCCTGCCTGGCCTCTGCCAGGAGATGATATAGTCCTAATTACAACACACTCCTGTCACCAGCCCAAAAGAAACCCACAAAGCTATCAACAAGAGGCACCAAAAC